AAGGGTCGCTTATGGTTTGCCTCCTTCCCTCTCTGTAACTTTTTCCCCCCTTCCTCTCCCCCATGGTCTTCTGTTAAGTTCCTCAGGACCCACATATGAGTGAAAACATATGGTATCTGTCTTTCTCTGCCTGACTTATTTCACTCAGCATAATACCCTCCAGTTCCATCCACGTTGCTACGAATGGCCAGATTTCATTCTTTCTCACTGCCAAGTAGTATCCCATTGTGTACATAAACCACATCTTCTTTTTTTTTTTTTATAATGGAGGTGTGCAGACTAACTGGGACACTGGATTTCTTTGATCTAGGAGAGAATTCTCTCAACTCAGATTTATAGTGAAGGCACAGAGAAGCGAAGATGTGGAAAAGTTAAATGACATCCCGAAAGTCACGTAATTAGTAACTGGACTAGAATCCAGGTCTGCTAATTCCTTGACCAGACTTCTCACCACCACTGGGTACATAATATGAAGGGTGGAGAGCAACCAAAGCTGATTCTGAGCTTGTGAGCCCAGGACACCAAGGCTACAGAACGTCGTTTTTCAGATGACAAAGAAAGAGAAAAGTCTGAGGGGTGTGGAGCCAGGCAGGTAGTAAGCCCAGGGTTCAAACTGTGGAATTCTTGCTCTCCAAAAAAAACTGTTAAATAGTTCCCAATATCAAGGGTGAGAAATTATTTTACTTCTCTTTTTCAAAAGAGCTGAGCCAACAACAACAACCAAAAAAAGAAAGAAAAAGAAAGAAGAAAAAAGGAAAGAAAGAAAGAAAGAAAGAAAGAAAGAAAGAAAGAAAGAAGAAAGAAAAAGAGAGAGAGAAAAAGAAAAAGAAACCCAAAACCAAACCTTTCAAATCACTGTAAGGGATCCTACTGCTGACTATTTAACACCTCCTCTCCTCTTCTCAAACTGATGACCTCAGCTGATGACTCTGGTTCTCATTTCACTGAAAAAGTAGTCGAAACAAGAGGAGAATTTCCATTTGTAGCCACCACCAGGAAACCTACCTACTTAGATGCGTAGTCTGTGCTCCCCTTAGGTCTAGCCTCGTCCTTCACGGAGCACTCGCCCATTTCAAGAATTTGCTCTTGCAATTGCCCTCATCCCTTGCATCATCAGCTCCGTTATTGGCATAGAATGTTGTGGGTTATTTCCATCAATACACAATAAACTCACTTGTAACTTCCCTCATTTACAAACCCCTCCCCTGACCCCAGGTTCATCCCTAGCCGCTGCCTCATATCTCTCTTTTCCTTTATTGCAAAGCCCTTTAATGTGTGTTGATATTTTCTGTTTCCATTTCCTGACCCATTTTCTTGTGCCCGCTCCTGGCAGGTGCTGTTCCTTACTACTCACTGGAAGGTCACTCGTCGAGGTCATTGTATGCACCGTGGTGCCGAGTCCATTCTCCATTCTCATCTTGCTTTCTCAGGAGCACTTCACATGGTTCCCCACTCCCTCTTTGAAACAGTCCTCATTCAGTCCCCTGGAGCATCACGCTCCCCTGGTTTTCTTCCTCTTTCATTGGCTGCCCCTTGTCAGTTTCCTTGACTGGAACCTGCTGCTCTTAACCTCTAAATATTGGAGCATGCCAGGACTCAGTACTCAGACCTCCTCTCTCCCAGCCACGTTCACCCAGCTGCATGGGTTGCATACTTCTGGAATGCTTGCAGAGAAAGATCTCCCTCCCAAACTGCCTACACAGATCAGCACTTGGAGGTCTGAAGGGCATTGCAAACTCAGCAGATGAACTCTTGGTTCTATAGCCCCTTCTACCAACGGCATTACAACTCTCCTGAATTCTCAGACCGAAGCCTTTGGAATCATCCTTGACTCCTTTCCTTCTCTCATACTCTGCATTCAGTCTATCAGCAAATCCTGTTGGCTCTACCGTCAGAAAAGATCTGCAATCCTAGCACTTAGAACCTCCCTCATTTCCACCACCATCATCATAGCCTGGCATGGCCATTGGCTTCCAACTCATCCCCCGGCATCCATACAGCGGGCAGAGTCATCTTTTAAGCCTATGTCAGCTTTTGTCTCTCTCTTGCTTTTAAACTTCCAGGGCTTTCTAGCACCCATGCAAAAAATATCCGAAGGCTTTATTATGGCTTCAAAGATGGCGAGTAACCCCACCCCTGACCCCTCTCCTGCCCTCTCTCTCCACTCACTGCACTCCGGTCGCACCGGCTCGCACACCTCACCAAGATCATTCCCATCTCCAAGCTTTGGCTTTTGCTGTTCTCTGGAAATCTCTTCCCTTCCATATCTAGGTAGCTCAGTCCTCCACTTCATTTTAGGTTTCTGCTCAAAAAAGTTATTTCCTCTGAGAAACTGGCTCTGACCATTTTATATATAAAATAGCACTCCTACCCACTGCACACTTAACCACTGTCTGGTGATACATTGCATATTTGCTCATCTTATTTCTGTGTTCCTGGCTAGGATGCAAGTCTTCAAGAGGAAGAATTTCATTCTGTTCAATTGTTTTGTCTCAAACACCGACAGCAGTAGTTGGTACATGGTAAGCTTTTCGCAAATATCTGTTTGATCTACGACTGCAAAAAATGACATTACCTGACTAAAATCTCTTTTATTGAGCTGTGCCCAATATATAACTGAACTTAACCATAAGTTAACTCTCATAAAAGAAGGAGCCCATGACTCAGAGAGCATAGATTGTTCTAGTTGATAAGGAAGCCAGAAAAGTAACACAAAACCACCTGGTTAAGTAACGCAGGCACTTAGAAAGGACACAACTGACTTGTGACTACAATTGGCTGTTGGAGAATTGGACAGACCAAATCCTCTCCACACCAAAAATGCCCTGAAATCCCAGCACTGGCCCGTAAAGGGCCCAGGTGGCGTTGGGCTAGAGATTCCGAGGTGGGGGGAAGCACGAGGCAGTCCACATGGGCTGAAACAAGGGCGACATTGGGGGAGACTCATAACAATGAAGGAAAAGGAGTTTATAGGACGAGACGGGGGGGGGGAGCCCCTCACCAAAGGAATCAAAGAAAGCAAGTAGGAAGGGAAAGAGGACAAGAAGAGAAGGAGCAGATTCGAGAAGGGCAGGCTGAGTGATGTGCGCACGCTCACTCACGGGGAGTGGCATTGAAACTTGGTCAGGAAGAGACCCTCACACCCTGCAACCCACACGAAGAATGATGACCTACCAACTGACTGCGTGTCAGCGGCTGGGGCGGGAGGGGGGACTAGAAACCAGCACCACCTAAACACAAGTGGAAAAAAATAGGGGGACTTTAAAGTGGTTCACAAAACCCTTCAAGTGGAGTCCCTGCTCCTGAAACTTCCTACCGTCTGATGAGTGTTTTCCAGTGGGTCTGTGATTCAGTCAGCCCCTGTTTACTAAAGCGTCTGGAGGAAACACCAACTCACTTTCTTCAAGGGTAATTCTACTTAGAAAGTAGAGTGATTCACGTGGACCCATGGATATTTTCCTGAAATCAGCAGCATTTAGCCAACCCTTCACGAGATGGGATTCTACCTAATGACAGCCACCCCCCGCCCTCCATTTTTCTGCCGCCATGACGCTTTCACATCTCCCTATAGCGTTTCTTTCGAGTGGAGGAGGGGGCGGCTCTTAACAGCTCTCACTTCTTACGGCAGATCTAGGCCCAGGGAGAAAAGATAACTTGTCCAAGCCTGCTTTGTAAGCTGCAGTCCCATGAACCATCCTCTTTTCCCTTGTTCCTTGATGTTGCTGAGTCTTTCTGTCTCAGAGTATTTGCATTTACCCCAGCCTGAACGCCTGTTGCCCCCCTGTATTTCCCTGGCTGCCTCCTTCTGTCTTTCAGGTCTCTGCCTCTGACCCCTGGCTTAGTCTAGGCCTCCCTGCCAGTGCCTCCCGTGCCTTTGTTTTTTTGTTTTTTTGTTTTTAATTTTTTTTTAACGTTTATTTATTTTTGAGACAGAGAGAGACAGAGCATGAACAGGGGAGGGGCAGAGAGAGAGGGAGACACAGAATCTGAAACAGGCTCCAGGCTCTGAGCTGTCAGGACAGAGCCCGACGCAGGGCTCGAACTCAGGGACCGTGAGATCATGACCTGAGCCGAAGTCGGACGCTTCACTGACCAAGCCACCCAGGCGCCCCATCCCGTGCCTTTGTATCACACCTGCGTCTCACCCATCACGCTTTTAACCCTGATCTGTGCCTGTCATCATGACTTAAGAATAAGCTTCCAGGAGTAGTCACTGGGTCTGTTTTGTCCACTTGGAGTCCTAACGCCCAGCTGGAACATAGCAGAAACTCAGTTGCTCAAGAGAACAAAACACTGAATGAGATGAATAAGTGAATGAACAGAGAGGCTAAGTTCTCCTCTCTCCCAAATCAGGACGTTTTACCTTGACGCCACCCCTCAGGAGTATAGGATGGGGGCAAACGGTGGGGACCTTTGTCCCCGCTTGCCAGGTGAGGACACGGAAAAGCCGTGGCTGTAGACCCTGGGCTTTAGCTCAACAGACCACTTGCCATTTCCCCTTGAACACTCAGAACCCTTCACCTCTGCATTGGTGCCTTCATCTGGAATACTCTCTTCAAGTCCTATAAAAACCCAACCTACCAGATGTATGTATTTGGGAAGACACACGAGGCAGAAGGGGGATTTGTCTCCACTGTATACCCTTTTGGACTGAGGAAGTTTTATAGACGTATGCATGACACCCTTCCAATAAACACACTAGCTCACACAAAACATTAAACGAAAACTTACTTGATGAAAGCAGTTCCTATCCACTTTCCAAACTCCAGACCAAATACTTCCAGACGCCCTCTGCTTCCTTCTATGATCTTATCACCTTGTCTCATCTTTTGAATACTCCCCATACTTCTATTCAATTAAAAGCAACTTACATGCTCCAATTATAGGTAACACATTCTAATACTCACCATGGGACCTGTAACGTAACAACGATAACACGTATCTCATAGGGTTGGTGCGAGAATTCAATGAATGATACACACAAAGCACTTAGAACCCACAGTGCCTTGTGTAAAGCAAGCAGGTTGTGCTTACTATTATTACCCATTCAACAAACATTTGTGGAAGGGCTCTCCTTGACCAGACGGCATGTCAGGTGCTGGGCAGAGGCTGCGGTTGAGGTTTCCTCCACGCTTCGCACAACGCCTGCCCCATCGTGTGTCTTAATAGATGGTTGCTGAACGGGATTGTCCAAAGTCAGTCTATGGATAAAACCAAATAGCCCCGGCGTTCCCCTTTCCAGTCTGGTGCCAGAGACGTGAAGGTGATGGCTTTATTAAAGCTTTTGAGAAATAGAAGGTGCTGAGGCCTCCGTCTCGGGATGGAACAGGCAGGCGAACAAAGTTGGGCCAAGTCTGGAACCCACACTCTTGCCCTTCATGTGTGAGAAGGAGGTGGGGTGGACCCCCACGGAGGAATACAAAATCCCCTTGGGGCAATTCATCAGTTGCCATAGACGCGTCCCTCTGGTGGGGGATGCTGGTAATAGGGAGGCTGTGCATGTGTGGGAGTAGGGGGAAATCTTGGTACCTTCTGCTCATTTGTGCTGTGAACCCCAAACTGCTCTAAAAATAAAGTCTACTTTAAAAAAAATACCATTGAGGGAATGGAAAATTCACTTTATTAGGGGAAGGGACACGTGGACTTTTTGATTTTTACGATTCTGACTCGGAATTGGGAGGCACGCCGAGTAGAGACGGGAGGGAGACTGGGTCCTGATTTTACAAGAATCACGCTTCTTGGTTGAATAACTGTCATGGTTGACCTGTCCCACTTGCAAAGCATTTCCGTCTGTATTTAACTGGGGTTTCACAAAAGCGGGTGTATTTAAAAATAAAAACACTAAAAATTGTGCGTGTGTTTCAGAGAAGACAGCTGCTGCCTATTGGGTAGACACGCCCCACGGGGCTGGGCTGCTTCTCGGTAACCAGGGAGCCCCAAGCCTCCAATGGAGCACCTGGTGGACACCATGGGGACACCGTGGGCCAGGGTGGCCGGCAGACAAGCAAGCCCAGAGATTTAAAACTACCATCCCACTGTTCAACCCCATCCCTCCTGATGGTCACTCAGAAATAGCCCCAGATGCTAGAGTCACACATGGGATGCACCTGGAAGGGCTTGAAGTGGATCAGTTTGGCTTTCTGAGCCCTGAGCCCTGAGCCCTCAGAGAGCAGGAGCCATGGGTCTGCCTGATTCTGAGGGAACCGGGGGTCAAGGAAGGGCCTCTTTATCTGGAAATCTAACAAAAGAGAGACCCCATGTGCAGCCTCTCCGACATCCCTAGCGTATCTCTGGGCTTTTCCTGGAAAAGTCCTTAATGGATTTGCGGTCTTGAAAACCCCAAGGGCAAAATACCGGAGCCTCAGGATTTCCCCCCACCTTCCCTAAAGCTGCTTCCACGCCGAGCTGCCTCCCCAAGTCTGATCGAACTCAAGACGCTTAAACACTCCTCAAGGAGCCCAAAGTCCCTTCTCGCGGGGCCTTTTTAGTCTCAAATCCCTTTTCTCGTAGCCCTGAGACTACTAACAGAACACCGGCGCGCCTTCGGAGGAACACGAGCCAGAAAGGCAGGAGCAGAGCCCAGGCGCAAAGGCTCTCTGGTGCGTCTGGCGCTGTGGCTGGAGATGCCCTGACCCTTGAGAGTTCCCAATTCGCATTTCCCACTTCCTGTAACCAGCCCTGGACACCAAAAATCCTGGCCTCTCCCCCGCTTGCTGCCGTGGAAGGTTCCCTTCCAGGAAAGTAGCCACCGGTATGACCACACTGTGGCCACTGCCTGTTCTCAGCTGATGCCTGGGGTTTTCACTTCTAACTTCTTTTCGCACGGCGGCGGCCCCTCGTTGTTGTTGGACCATGTTTCTGGCTTGTCTGCTCGCGTGTGTGAGGATCCCCTCCGAGGGCAGGGATGTAGGAGTCTCCTCCCAGAGCTCAGCCCGTCCATCTCAGCCCCACAGCCTGGGTCTTCGCCAGATGCAAAACCAACCGCTCAACCAGAACCTTGACCACGCAACTTCTCGCCCTGAGAGGCTGGTCTGGAACGTGGCCAGTGCCTTTGGCTTAGGGCTCCTGGTCTCCCAGCATTGGTAAGACTGAGCCTTAAAATCCAGGCTCCAGGGACTCATGATATTCCTTCCTCTTTGAAAGAGTCAGGAGAAACTCAGAACCAGTCCCCGAGGAGGAGGCAGCCAAGCCACAGCCCCCAGCACCTGCTGACTTCTCTCTCTCTCTCTGTCTCTCTCCTTGGGCTGGCTGAGTCCTGGCAGGTAATGGTGGGACTCAGACCCTCAAACAGATGAGCACTTACCTGTTCCACAGCTCGGCTCAAAAGCCAGGGAGAGAAACAGCAGGAAGTTCAAGGAGAGGAGCCCCTTGAGATCCATCAGCCAGTGAAGAAAGAGAAGGCAGCCCGGTGAGGAGCCCAGCAGCTGCTCGAAGATGCCACGGCAGAGCGAGGTCAGTGTCAGACAGAGCTGACACTCCCGACTAGTTATGCATCAGGAACCAGATGGCTTCCTGTGTCGCTGGGACTTTTTCTGCCTGAGTCTCGAGGATTGCTCATCTCCTTTCGGGCTTTAAATCACTTGGCTGTTCCCAAGAAGTCCGAGTCAAGTGCACAGACTGCTGAAGCCGGGAAAGCGGCTCAGCAAGCCCAGCCTTGAGCAGAAACGGCCCCCCTCCCCTCTTTAGCTCCCTCTGCGAGTTCTGCCCCGCTAAGTCCTCTTAGAGCACAAAGAGGAGGCGGGGCTCTGGCAGACCACCCCGAAATCTGGTCACTCAGTTCAAGGCTGAACTTGGATGACTGAGCTCTAAAAGGTTCTTGCGTCTCACATCTGATTTGTTCCATAACTTCAGAGAACACCTCCACATGCCGTGGGGTCCTGCTGACAAAGCCACAGAGACTTGGGGGGGGGGGGAAGGGCGTATCAACTGGCAGAAACCCAATTTCCCGGCTGCGTGCGTTGTGGTAGAACCCAGTGAGCCCTGGGTTGTGTGTGGGGGGAGGGGAGCCTTCATCTCAGGGCTTGTGTCTAACTTTCTGTGGAAGAGAAGGGGCTAGAATTGGCAGAAGAAACACATACGCTTTTCCAAGAGTTAAGCCATAGGGAATGAAACAATGGAAAGATGATTTTACTGGTGTGTGGGAAGAGACTTTGCAAGGCCAGCCCCTTGCGTTTTGAAATCCATTTTAACAGGCCACAGGCACTCTCCAATGGGCTTCCAAGGGAATCAGGGCAGCAAGGGCTGGCGATCTAGGTGAACTTGCCCTTTATTCTCGCTGCTTTTCCCCCCCTCCTTCACCGGACACCGTCCTCCCCACAATACTACCCAGCGGCATGCTGGAGTCAGCACGGACCAACTCCTGAGAGCCGATGGTTAAATTTTCAGGCACCTTGCGAGCTGGGTGGTTGATCAGCATTGCCGTTATTAACAAGGTGAATGATGTGACATTACGATTAAATGCATTGTATTAAAACTAAGGGAATAAAAACCCCAAACGCATTACTTCCTAAATAGTTCACAACATTTGACTATTATCTGTGCCCTCGAGGATGCTTCCATCTACTGTATCTTTACGGTCGAACTAAAATCCCAGATCACATGGGCTGCTGTGGTGCTCTCGCAGCCCTGCATTTGATGACACCACGTTGGTAGCTTGAAATCAGCCAGCGTGGGAGTATATGTACCATGGAAACTGGCAAACGGTAGAATCAGAGCTTTGGCTCAATGTTTTGTTGATTTTCTAGATGTAAGAAAGTGATAGAGAAAAAAAGCAATGATTCAGTTTGAACTTAAAAGCATGTCGTGACGGCAGCTTTGATGTCGTATTCAATAACTGTCGTCTCATTCAGCAAAGTCACAAGGGTCACTGATGAGCAAACGGGTTTGCAATGTATGTCTTTAACGTTGCACCTGTCTTCAGCTTAAAAAAAAAAACAAAAAACCCTGACTGTCAGCAAGAAGACAACAGAGCAAAGTATTTAAAGAGTTGAGAGGAAAAAGAATGCCAGTCTGGACTTCTGAATCCTGAGAAATTAGTCCTTCAAAAGCGAAGGAGAAACCAAGGCTTCCTTGGACAAACAAAAGTTGAGGGAATTTGTTGCCAGTGGTTCTGCCTCGCAAGAAATGGTCACAGAAGTTCTTTAGGGAGAAAGAAATGCTATAGGTCAGAAACACAGAGGGGCGCCTGGGTGGCTCAGTTGGTTAAGCGTCCAACTTCGGCTCAGGTCATGATCTTTCAGTCCGTGAGTTCGAGCCCCGCCGTGGGGCTCTGCTTCGGATTCTGTGCCTCATTCTCTCTCTGCCCCTCCCCCACTTGTGCTCTGCCTCTCTCCGTCTCTCAAAAATAAATAAACGTTAATTAAAAAAAAAAAAAACAGATCTACATAAGGAGAGGAAGAACATCAGAGAAGGAGTCAGTGAAGGTAAAATGAAAACTTATTTTTCCTACTCATAACTGACCTAACAGATAACACTCTGTTCAAAATAATAATAATAATAACAATAATAATAATAATAATAATAATAAAATAATAAAATAAAATTAAAAATAATAAAAATAATAATAATAGCAGCAATGTATTCAATTATGGGTGCTTACGTATATCCCTTATGTGTATATATGCTTATGAATGCTTATATATAAGTGAAATGAATGACAAGGATACAAGGGCCAGGAGAGAGGAATTAGGATTATTTTGTTATATAAGGTACTCACACTACCCAGAAAGCAGTGTAGTGTTATTTGGAAGTGCGTTTGGATGAGTTGTAAGTGTATATTGCAGAATCCAGGGCAACCAGTAAAAAAAATCAATAAAAAATAAAAGGTATAACGTACCCACTAAGAAAGGAGAGAAAATGAAGTGCTTAATGAAACTACAAAAGACAGAGGAAGAGTGGAAGGCAATAATAGTAACAAAGAACAAGGGAACCAAACAGAAAACAGTAACAAATATGATTAAATATTATTCTAACTATATCAAGAATCACTTCGAGTGTCAATGGTCTAAACGAGCCAATGAAAAGACAGAGATTGTCAGAGTGGCTCAAAAAAACGAGACCTGATTGGCTCCTGGTGGGCGGCAGGGGCCATTCGGGAGGTGGAGCAGGGCAAGAGGCAGCAGGATTGGCTGGTGTAGGGCCCTGCCCCTTCTGCTTCTCGGGCCTGACTTCCTGTAGCTGGGCTGCCCGCCAGGCCGGCGATAACACGTCCTTGCGATGTGGTCAAAGGTGCTCACTCTTGAGACATCATGGTGGTGTACTGGTGACAGGCTGAGCTCAGCTACATCGGATACTTCCAGATCTCTGCAAAAGCCATGAGAGATGCACTGACAACAGAATTCAAAACAGATGCCAAGAAGACTTCCGGCAGCAGCCTAAAAATTGTGAAAGTGAAAAAGGAATAGTCTACTCTTACTAAAGCTTGAAAAGCTACATTTTCAAGTTGAAGATGTGTGGGCACGTGTTACAGCAGATTGAAAAGGATCTCCCTTCATGGGAAAAAGACATACTTGTTCACAGATCGACAATGACAATACATTGAAGTATGATTCAAAACAACAAAGACAAAGACAAAACCCAACTCTGTGTAGTCTATAAGAAACCCATTTTAAGTATAAAGACACATACAGATTAAAAGTAAATAGAGAGGGGCCCCTGGGTGGCTCAGTCAGGGAAGCCTCCGACTCTTGGTTTCTGCTCAGGTCATGATCTCATGGTTCCTGAGTTCAGACCCTGCTTTGGGCTCTGTGCTGGCAGGGTGGAGCCTGCTTGGGATTCTCTGTCTCCCTCTCTCTCTGCCTCTCTCCTGCTCACGCTGCCTCTGTCTCTCTCAAAAATAAATAAATTTTAAAATAAAAGTAAATAGAGAAAGAGGAAACATGCTAACCCGATAACAGCAGAATACGCATTCTTCTCAAGCTCACATGGAACGTTCACCAAAATAGACCACCTTCTGGGTCATAAGACACCCTGGAACAAATTTAGAATAATAGAAATCAGACATTGTTCTCAGGTCACACTGGAAATAAACTGGAAATCAACAACAAAAAGCATCTGGAAAATCCCCAAATATGTAGAGATTAAACAATACATTTCTAAATAATACACAGGCCAAAGAACCTCTAGAGAAATTTTTCAATATTTTGAGCAAAATTAAAATGAAAACACAATTTATCAAAATGTGTGGGATTCAGCAAAAGTAGTGCTTAAAGGGAAATTGATAACATTGAATGCATATAACAGAAAAGATGAAAGACCTAAAATCAAGAATATAAGCTTTCACTTTAGGGAACTAGAAAACGAAGACCAAATTCATTCCAAAGTAAGCAAAAGAAAAGAAATCATAAAAACTAGAGTAGAAAGCAAAGAAATTGAAAACAGGAAATTAATAGAGAAAATCATGAAAGCAAAGGCTGGTTCTTGGCAAAGATCAACAAAATTGGTAAACCTCTAGCCAGGCTAAATACATTTAAATAAAAAAAGATACAGGACACAAATTACTAATATCAGAAATGTAAGAGGGGACATCACTACCAAACTCATGGACACTAAAAGGACAGTAAAGGGGCGCCTGGGTGGCTCAGTCGGCTAAGCGTCCGACTTCAGCTCAGGTCACGATCTCGCGGCCAGTGAGTTCGAGCCCCGCGTCGGGCTCTGTGCTGACAGCTCAGAGCCTGGAGCCTGTTTCAGATTCTGTGTCTCCCTCTCTCTCTGACCCACCCCGTTCATGCTCTATCTCTCTCTGTCTCAAAAATAAATAAACGTTAAAAAAAATTTTAATAAAAAAGGAAAAAAAAATAAAACGACAGTAAAGGAATACTATGAACAACTCTATGCCTACAAATGTGATAACCTCAATGAAATGGAACAATTCCTTGATAAGACATAATCTGCCAGAACTCACACATGAAATAGACAATCTAAACAAGTTATTGATAACCTTCCAAACCAGAAAGCATACTGATTCACTGGTTCTATTCTGTCGTCCTAACTCATTCTATTACGTACGCTTTTTTTTTTTTTTTTTTAGAGAGAGAGAGAAAGCTTGCAAGCAGGGGTTTGGGGGGAGGCAGAGAGAGAGGATTTTTTTTGTTTGTTTGTTTAATGTTTATTAATTTTTGAGAAAGAGAGACAGAGTGAGAGTGGGGGAGGGGCGGGGGGGTGGAGACACAGAATCTGAAGGGGCTCAAGCTCGTGAGCCACGAGATCATGATCCGAGCCTAAGTTGGATGCTTAACGGACAGAGCCCCCCAGGCTCCCTGAGAGAGGGGATCTCAAGGAGTCTCCACATTCAGCATGGAGCCTGACACAGCACTTGATCCCATCACCGGGGATCATGACCTGAGCCAGATTTAAGAATCTGATGCTTAACCAACTCAGC